CTGTTTAAAGAGGTTGTAGAAAACAGTCACTTGTATGGAAACAGCGAGGGGTTCCATGAATCCTCAGTACATCCCATCTTTTTCCTCAGGTTCATGGGAAGAACTTGTACCTGGCATTTGTGGCAGCTGGAGAGTCCTTAGGACCAGCTGCAGAAGAGACAGTGCTGCAGGGAGAGGCTGCTAGCGGGGCAAGTCCTTCTGCTCAGGGAGGGCAGGGACAGGTTTGTGTTCCACAGACACATCCCCAGGAGGAGGAGCTGCAGGAGCCCCAGCACTCGGGATTTGAAGCCCCAGAAGCAGCAGAGGGTCCAGGCAACTGGCTGCGCTTCCACTTCGGCTTGTTTGGCAGCATCCGGGCAAACGAGTTCTCAAGGGCAAGCAAAGCCAATAAGAGGGGGGACTGGAAGGACCCTGCACCCAGGTATATAATGGAGCCCTTACTAACTCTGCTTTCTCTCTGTGTCTCATTGTGGAGAGGCTCTCTGCCTCGAACTAGATGTGTGTGTGGATGCTCTCAGCCCTGTCTTTACACTGATAAGTCTTAAGATAAGTAGGCAGGAGAGATGGAATGAGTGGTTGTGTGGTGTGTTCAACCACAGCACACTTGTGGTGTGCATGCTGCCTGTCAGCCTGGGGATCATAGTGCCAGCTCTGTATATGTTTTTATTCAGAGAGAGAGAACTTTTAGAGTGCTGGACTGAATCATGCCCTGAAAATGCCAGTTTCTCACAATTACATGTTTAAAAACAAGCATTGGGTAAATATCCTACATCTAGGGTGGCTGGAGCAGGCTGGAGCAGCACTGTCTTGAAAACATGGGCTACAGTCTGTCCTAAGTCCCAGTGGAAGTGCCCTGGACAAGGGATAAGTACAGGAAGACAGTGTGGACTCTGCTCTTGTGAACTGTTTACCCCAAGTGGTTAATAATGCACAAGGTAGGTCTGGCCTCTGTCTGTGGTGTCCTTGTTAGGTACACACTCCATGCCCTCCTATCCTGCAGTGTTTTGAAGGATTACTTTATTTCTGTACAAGTAGTTTCAGCATCAGATGCTCTGATTTGTGGACCCTACTGCTGGAGCCCTTGGTCATCTGGCTTGTCTGCTGGGGAGAGCTGAGGTGCTGATGTGTCTTCCTGTCTGCTGCTGCCTTTTGGCTAGGGACCACAGGGCAGCAGAATGAACAGCTGTGTGCAAGTTGTGTGGGTTCACAAGCAAGTTTCCTGCGTGAAATCATTAAAGAGGCTACCTTGTATTAAGATGATGGCCTGGAGTGTTGGAATGCTTGCTGTGACCCTGTGTGCCCAAGCAAGTGTGGTGATAAGCTGTAGGGAAGGAATAGCTGGACTAGGGTACAGCTTTGATTCCTTAAACTGTGGCAGTCTTCCTGCATGGGGGACTGGTACAAGATGCCTCCCTGTTTTTCATGAGGATGCATAGGCATGTGTGAGTACTGATGCCTCGCTGTGCGCTTCTCCCTAGGCTTACATCATGTACAGGCTCTTTTCTCATCCTCTGGTAGCTTTTCATTCCATTGCTGTCTTTTTGTGTGCCAGAAAGTTTCTTCAGCCAGAACAGATTATAACAAATGGTTCAAGGATGTTTTTGATGAGAGACTTGAACTTCTCTGCTATTCCCAGGCTGGTTCTGTACTTTGAGAGTGGAGGCTTCCTTGTTTTCTACAACTGCCGAATCCACTGGTGCTCTTCTCCGAGGGCTGATCCTGCTTCTGACATCCTGTCTGGGGAGTTCCACCGTGGGCAGGCACTGGATGCCCTACGCGCACCCAATCCCATCTGCTACACGCTCTTAGACCAAAGATATTTTTCAGGGCTGGGTGAGTTCCAGGGCACAGTGGCCTCCAAGAGATGAAGGAAGGTGGGTGGGACGTCTGTAGATCCAGAGCTGCATGTGTGAGCCTCCTTCTCCTTAGTTTATGGTTTCTGGCTCATCCAGCTGAGGGTATGTGGTCTTCTTGCTGAGGACAAGGCCTGCAGCCTGTAACCACAGTCCAGTGGTGCAGTGCCCTGTGAAATGTCTTGGTTTGGGTGATTGGATTGGCTTGTACTTGTTGAAGAAAAGGTCTGCTTCCAGGGTTGTGGGAAGAGAACATCTTCCAGTCTGATCCCACCTGTAAGCCTGCTCTTCATATGCCACCTCTGATAATGGGAATGGTGTTGCTAGCTGTGATCCTTGAGGCAGAAGTCACAGGTTGGAGCTATAGGTCTGCATCTTCTTGGTAAGAAATATCCTTATTGTGTCCTTATTTATGACTCTTCCCAGGGAATATCATGAAGAATGAGGTCTTGTACCTGGCCAAGATTCACCCATTAACACAAGGCACTTCCTTGGCACTCGTGGATCTGGAACGTCTGCTTGACTGTGCCATTCGGTACAGCTCTGACTGGCTGCAGGACAAGCTGCATGGGAGAAAGATGCACCTTCAGATATATCGGAAGGAGCACTGTCCTCTTGGGCATGCAGTGATGAAGGAAACTCTTGGACCGTCGGGTGGCTGGAAAAGACTTACATGGTGGTGTCCTCAATGCCAGCCTGCAGTGCTATCAGGCGGTGGGGATCCTTCCCCAGGCACCGAGTGACCTGCCCTTGTGTTCCTCCTTTCCTGGAGGGTGTCTCTTGGTTATCGTGGGAAGGTCTTCATGGTTTCTTTGAGGCTGTTGAGTTTGCTCTTCAAGGACAGAGAGCTGGCAGAGTTGAGTGCTCAGTGGAGGTTACAAGAATCACTCTGTGCCTCTGGATGCAAAAAGGAAAGCAGTTGCACGTGTCTGTTGGGTTTTTGTTACAGTGACACAACAGTGTAAACAGAAATGTTTTGGTCACCTTGTTTGGACTACAGTGAAGGGAAAGCATAGGAGATCAAGCAGGTGATTCCTGGGGTCTGAAGAGCTCCTACCCCTTGGCCCTGCTATGGGTGCAATGGCTTATGGTGGAGTTGGCAGAAAGAAGCATATCCTTCTGCCTAAACAGCTTGATTAATGCACTACTGGGTAATCCTGCCTCTGTACCTGTGTGCTGGGCTGTGATTAGGTGTAATTAGATGTGGCTGTTCCCTCTCTCAGCTCTTGCATGAACAGCTGCCTCCATCCCATGCGGGAAAATAAACCTCAGCAATGCTTGGTGGAGATGTTAGTTCTGTGGCAAACTGCCAATTCACTTAAAAATACATCATTAAAAATGCTGTGCTTGTGACAGGGGTTGCATAAACTTCATTACCTCCAAAATAACTTGAAAGCAGAAAGGTTTGGAAATAGGGATGGTGTGATCCCTCCTTTGTTTGGCTGTGTGTCTGTCTGTGTAGCAGGCAGGAGCTGTTGCTGTTCCCTCTCCCAGTATTTGGGTTTATTTTGACAATAGATTGCTGACTCGAAGAATAAAAGCTGAAGTTAGAACCAGTGATGTTCATCTGAACTTCAGTGTCTTTTCTTGGTAGTTTCTTGCCTGAAAGCTGAGATGTACAGGGGAATTCTGGCAGTTGGTGCTGCCCTGTAGAGGATGGAACCACCAGTTTCCCCCAGCTGCTTAAGCGTGGGTCAGCAGCAGAACTGTTCTCAAAGAATCATAGAATCGGCTGGGTTGGAAAAGACCTTGAAGATCGACAAGTTCAACCCTTACCCCAGCACTGCCAAGTCCACCACTAAACCATGCCACTGAGGACCTCATCTACACGGTTTCTGAGCACTTCCAGCGACAATGACTCTACCACTGCCCTGGGCAGCATGTTCCAAAGCCTGACTACTGTTTTGGAGAAGAAATTGCTCCTACTATCCAATCTAAACCTTCCTTGGTGCAGCTTGAAGCTGTTACCTGTTGTTCCATCACTTGTTCCTTGGGGGTTAGTCTCCCACCTCACTACAACTTCCTTTCAGGCAGTTGTAGAGAGTGGTAAGGTCCCCCTTGAACCTTCTCTTCTCCAGACTGAATACCCTCAGTTCCTTCAGCCATTCCTCATCAGACTTGTGCTCCAACAGCTTCACTGTCTTTCTCTGGACCTGCTCCAGCACCTCAATGGCTTTCTCGTACTGAGGGCCCAGAAGCAAACATAGTATTTAAGGGCACATGATCTAAAGGTGGCTTGCACATCCACAGGGTGTGCTGGAGTTGAACACCTCAGCGGTAGGCTGTTTCCCAGGCTTGCACAGCCTCTCCTGTGTGAACTGTGCTGCCCTTGAGTGGTTGCAGGTTATGGGACTGATGAATAATCCAGTTAATGGGGTTATGGTGCTGAGGGAGATGGTTAATGTCACTGTTGAGCATGTCCTGCAGGGTGTCAGTGCAAGCATGGAACTGAGGCACGGTAATGCCAGTGCCCTTCTAAAACAGAAATCAACACGTACATGGAAGAGCCTCCAGCAGATGAAGCTCCCATTGTTAAGGGTGAGATAGCAGCTCCTAGGTGTCTGGAGGGTACTGGAGGCCAGGCTGGATGGGGCTTGGAGCCACCTGCTCTAGCTGAAGGTGTCCCTGCCCATGGCAGGGGTTGGATCTGGGTGGGCTTTAAGGTCCCTCCCAACCCAACCCATTCTATGACTCGTGGTTGAGCCAAACGCACAGAGCCGGCGGCGGTCTCATGTCTCAGCTCACAGCAGGCTGGGGCGGTCCTGCCGAGAGGAGGGTGGCTCCAGAGAAGTACCGCTAGGGAAGGGGACACGAGGTGCCTTAAACAAGCGAGCGCCTTCACGCCTGAAGCGGGGATGGAACAAGGAGGCCCCGCAGCGGCCCCTGGCCCGCCCGCTTCCCCCCGCCGCCTTCCCGCTTTGCCAGCGCCGCGCGTGTGGCGACGCGCACCGGCACCCAATCAGCGCTGGCCGGCGGCCGTCACACCAGCCTTGCTGCCATTCTATTGGCTGGAGCTCCCCTGGTGCGAGCGCCCTTCTGCCAATAGGCGTCCAGCCGGCCCACCGAGCGATGGGACGAGAGCGCTGATTGGCGGAGAGGCGGGGCAGAGGCGGCCTCGCCCGGCTCCGGTTAAGCGCCGGTGTGTGGATAGAGGGGGGGCAGCGGTGGCGGGAGCGCGCTCGGCGTTGGTATCCCCATGGAGCTGCTGAAGAAATGGCTGGGCCACCCCGAGGACATCTACAACCTGCTGCGGTTCAAGATGGGCGGCTACCGCGCCGTCATGCCCAGGGTCGACCCGGTGAGCGGGACGGGGTGTGATGACAGGCAGGGGATGCGCGTCGTTATCAACGTAGATCGGGCTGTGCACGGTGCCCGGGGGGAGGCGGGGGATGCGGTGCCGCGGTGATGTGGGGCCGGGACGGGGGAAGAGGAGGAGGGGAAGGATAAGGGGGGGCTATCTCCCTGCGCGGCTGCGGCGTTGAGGCAGCACCGGCCAGGTGTCACCCGTGGGCAGCATCGGCTCCGTGTGCCCGGCGCGGTATCGGAGCATCCTGGGTGTTGCAGCGGCTCGGGCCTCATTCATTGCTCGGGGTCCGGGTATCGCACCGGCTCCTGGTTTCCCAGCAGCGGGTCTTGCATTACCGTGCATCGCACCGGTTGCAAGCGACGCACGGGCCTGGTGCTTTGCATGGGACCGGGACTTTACCCTGCTCTTGCTTCTCCGCAAGCACCGCACCGGCTCCGGGCAGCGCACAAACCCGGTGCCACAGTCTCGATGCTTCCCGTGCATCACACCGGCTCTGGGCACTGTACGTCCCGGGTGCTCCGCACCGGCTTCGTTCATCCCGTGCGTTACATGGCTGCGGGCGTCACATGGGCCCGGTGCAGCACTGGCCTCAGGCTTCCCATGCATTGCTAGGGGCTGGTACCCTGCTTGCATCGCACCGGCTCCGGCCACCTCACGGTCCTGATGCTCTCTATGCATCAGCGGTCCTCGGACGGGGCGGGCACGGAGCGGGCTAAGGGGCGGGCAGCGGGCGGTCCTGGGCGGGCGGAGCGGGCTGCAGCCCCCTGCCACCGCCGCCGCTGCTTCCCGCCCCGATGGCGGCCAGCACCAAAGCGGTGTCCCTCTTGAAGCGGGCTCTGGCCCTTTCCCCCTCCCCACCGCGGGGTCCCCCTCGGGCTGCGGGGCGGCTGCGGGGCGGCGGGAGGCGCGCTCAGCAGCGCGGGGTCCCTGCGGAGCCCCCGGTCCCGCCGCCGGCTGCCCCCCGCCTTCAGCCGCCCCCCGGCACCGCGCTCTGCCCCCAGGACTCGCTGGAATGTGGGCTCCGCACCTGCTATCGGTACCTCAACCAGACCAGCCGCAGCTTCGCCGCCGTCATCCAGGCGCTGGACGGAGAGCTGCGGTGAGCGGGGGTCCCGGGCGGGAGGCTGGGGATGGTGGTGGGGGTAATGCACGCCCCGAGGATGCAGGGCTCCCCGGGAGGGGTGGGTGCGATGTCTGCCCAACACCGGGGCTCCCTAAGAGGTGGTGGGTGCAGTGTCCCCCCTCTAATGCGGGGGTTCCCCATGCAGTGCCCCCACTTACGATGTTCTTTATCCGAGCCACAGCACAGCCCTCCCTCTTCTCCCCCTGTGCCTCAGGGGTGCTGTGCTGAGCAGCGCTGGTTGGAGATGCTCAGGGCAGCCCCACCCCGTGCAGCGGGACGTGGGGTTTCTCACGTCCAAGCTGCCTATCACACATGCCCCCCCTCCAGCCACGTTCCTGGGGGCTGGCATTGCAGCTCCTCGGCCAGCAGATGGTTAAACACAGCGGCTGTTCCTGTGCTGTTAGTGATACCCTGGGAATGTGTCCTGGCAGTGCCAAGGCTGGGCTTCCCGAGGAGGTGAGAAACGTGCTGGGGCTGACCAAGGGTCTGGATCCTGCCTGAAAGATGCTTTTGGAAGCAGCTGCCTCAAAACCTGTTCAGTCATGGGGTGGGCTTGCTACAAATACTGCTGTTGTGTGCAAGAAAGTTTCAGACAGTAATAGTAGTGGAGGATGCAAAGCTCAGCTGGCCTGGGGCCTCGCGGCTATATATATACATATATATATATATATGCTCTCCATAATTCCTTGTATTTGTAGGGTGACTATTGACTTCAGTATATAGGTCTCTTTTCAGTTAATCCCAAACTGGGTTAATCATCAAAATAGGGAGTTTCTGTACTGGATACATCTAATGATGTGGTTGTGGCTCTGCTGAGTGGTTGTAGGCACTGTACACTGAGTTAGCTGTTGGGTTTCTGAGCCCTGGTTTGGCTTTTGGGATGGTGCCCCATAGCTGTTATCCAGTGTTTATGAAATGGTGTTTGCAGCCTGTTTTACAGGAAAGGCAAAGAAATGCAGTGGTTTGGCAGGGGATATGTGGAAAGGTACAGCTGGGGCCAAGAATTAAGCTTTTTTTTCCATGCTTGGTACATTAGCTAATGTAGAAATTGGGGAGAAAAAAAAAGGCTACTAAATAAAACATCCTGAATCCTATTGGCAATGTCAGTAAGTGGTGTGCTTGCCTTCATATTCCTTTGGTTATCTTTCTCATCTCTCTTTTCTGTTCTTTCATCCTTGCTTTGCAGCTTGCTGGGATCAGGAAGGTGCCATCCTTCAGGCACAGAAACTTATGCCTGGCATCCTAGAAATGCCATTGCCAACCTAGGGCTGTGCAGGGATTGCTGCTGAATTACAGCTGGCTCTGTAGTGCGTCAGAAGAAACTCATTTTTGAAACACAGTGGCTCTGGTGAAAAGTTAAGGACGAAAGAGGGAAATGCAAAATAGGGAGAATATAGAAACAGGCAGATCAGCAGCTTACTGGAGGAATTAATTTTGCTGCATCACCTCAAAGTGAGAGGTGATCATTGTGCTTTCACTGATGTTAACCCCACTAGGGGGGTAAACTGAACCTATGTGGTTATAAACTACTGAATACCGGCCTCTGTTCTTGCTGGCTGAATGAGCTGCGGGTATAGGGTTCAAGCATTGAAGCAACCACATTGTGCTGACAAACACAGCACTGCTCGGGGTCTGCTCCTGAACCACAGTCTGGTCCCCTCCCCTGCCCCAGCTTTGTTTGTGACTTCTTTGGAGTGAAATCACCTTGTTGTCAGGCTCCTGCTCCCTAGTTCCAATCACTGCTCCCGGGAGAGCTTCTGTGCATCCCCCAAGGGCTGCTGGAAAACAGAGAACTTCTAGATGAGTGCTTGGAGCCATGCTTCCCTGGGCAGGATGTTGGTAGTTGAGTTAAATGCCTGGTTCCTTCTTATTTATCTTTCTTGGCCCCATAAACCGTGTGTTTTGTTGGCCAAGGCCCTGTCCAGCCTGTTGCTCCATGCTTAGGGTGTTTTCTTGGAAGGTGGGAGGCTCAAAACTGCAGCTTCCATCAGCAGCTGAGCCAGTGTCATAACTTGTGGTGGGGGCGAGGAGTTATGAGACAACACCACAGCTCCTCTCCTGGGGGTGGAGCAGAGGGATGCTCCTGCCTTGTCCTTGTGCCTGTCCCTGGGACCCTTCAGCATCAATCCCTTCAGGTTCAGCTGCTTTGTGGAAAGGACCAGCTTTGCGTTGGTAGAGAGTGAATGCAGTGGCAAGGGGAAAGGAGACCTCTTCACCTGGGAAGGGGGAGCTGCACCTAAGAGCTTGGGCCCTGAGATGAAACCACGCTTGCTGTTGGGAAGTAGGCACTTCCAGTTCTGCAAAGGAGAGGTAACGCCAGTGTTTTCTTCTAGCAGTGTCACACAGGTTTCCTGGTGAAGACTGTGTGGCTTTGGTTAGCCCCTTGTCATCTCCATGGATCTCAAGTTGGAGCCCAACTGGGATCATGGTGCTTGGGAACCCTGCAGAGAAGTGGAGAGCTGCAGGCAGACCATGCTTAGTGCATAGTTGTTTTTATGATCTTGTATTTCATGCAATCATAGAATAGTTTGGGTTGGAAGGGACTTTTAAAGATCATCTAGTCCAACCACACTGCAATAAGCAAGGACATCAACAAGATCAGGTTGCTCCCAGGCCATGAATGTTGGCAGGGATGGAGCATCTATCACCTCTGTGGTACCTGTTCCGGTGTCTCACTACCCTCATCATAAACAATTTCTTCCTTTCATTGCCCAAATCACCACAGAGCTAAATTCAGTACATGATGGAAGCTAGGGATGGAGTTATGGTTTGGATGCAGAAGTGGGGTTAAATGAGTGTTCCAACTATGCTGGAGTTATTGCTTCCCTTGGCATGGTGTCAGTGTGAGAAGTACTTCTGGGATGGCCATTGAGGTTCTGCTCTGCCTTTCTTGGTTGCTGCTGAAATGCGGTAGGAGTCCTGGGCCCTTGCCTCGTGTCAGATAAACCTTTGCAGCTTGGTTGAAATGGAAAACTCAGTTGCACAAAGAAGCAGGAGGGCCCAAGAGAGCTGCTCGTGAGCACTGGGGTGTGTATTTTGATGGAGGTATTAAATACTCTTCAATTAAGGAAAAACTGCCAAATTTAACAGCATTGGCTCCAAAAGCCAGTCAGTTTTCCCTGGCTGGTTAATCACCGCTTGCGTGGTGTCATTCAAGGAGAGCAATGCTTTTGCCTGCTAATTAGCAGTTAAGCAGTCCAAGCTAGTTTCTATTTGTTAAGCAATTAATAAATGCATCATCTCCTTGATGTATCATTGTGCTCATTTAGAGCTAGGGGATTATTTTATATAGGTTGTAGAGTTGGAGCCAGTATTTCTTGCTGTCAGCAATCTGTCTTTGCTTCAGCAGCAGAAGTGTGGAGCCTGGATGGGGAAGGCAGGAATAGGGAAGGCAGAGGCAATGGGATGGAGAGGAGAAGTGGTTTTTGAGTAGCTTCCTGCTGGGGTGCTAGGATATGTGGGCTGGTTCTGGTGTCTTGCATGTGGAGATATGAAATACAGGGTGGTTTTGGCTCTATTCCAGTCCTAATGTTCCTGTTTCCTAATGTTCCAGTAAGGCACCCCAGGCAGGATAAAAGGGTGCTGGGTGCAGAGAATGGGAAGTGATAGGAAAATGACACCAGCTTTTTCCCTTCCTTATTTTGCATTTGCTTTTCCCAGTACGCTGACTTCAGGCTCTGTCCTCTGGGTTCTAATGAATGCTGGCCTTGCTTGCAGGGTTGGATCTTGCTTGCAGGTTTGCATCTGGCAGTGCCCTGTCTTTCCCTTCCCTGGTGTATGCATCTTAGAACGCCAAAATCCATGCCATAGTTTCCTACAGGAAGGAAAGGGTTTCCTGATGCAGCTCTCACAGCAGTCAGCCCATGGGGAGTTTGTGTGGAGACACCACTGTTGCTCAGAGCACAGGTTCAAGGAGATGATGAGTAAGGGTGGGAGGTGCTGCTGGTGGGGCTTTCCATCCCTAACCTGCTCCTCTGACCCTGGGATGGGAGCAGCATGTTTCTAATACATCTGATTTACTTTCCTACACTGCAGGGGACAGTCACTGTCCCCATATGAGGGCTGGGGAAGCTGCCATCTGGGATATAGTTGAAGATATCCCTGCCCATTGCAGGGGGGTTGAGCTAAGTGACCTTTGAAGGTCCCTTTCAACCCAAACCCATGATATGAAGCAGGAGGGATTGTATGTGGATATCCCTTGACCAAAGCAGTACTGTATCACCTGAATCGTTAGAGTGGATTTTGCTGGAAGTGCTTCTATGTTCCAGAAGCATCAACGACCTGGCAGTGCTAACGTGTATCATATTGAGCTTTCAGCGCCTGCTGAAGGCTGTGTGGTTAATCTAAGCTATTTTTCCTGCCTAATAGGCAATCCCAAGTAAGGGATTGTTTTTTCTCCTCCCCCCAGACATGCCGTCTGTATATTCTACCTAGTTCTCCGTGCCCTGGACACTATAGAGGATGACATGACCATCAGCTTAGATGTGAAGGTCCCAATGCTGCACGAGTTTCACTCCTATCTCTACCAACCAGAGTGGAAATACATGGACAGCAAGGAGAAGGACCGGCAGGTGCTTGAAGACTTCCCAACGGTAAGGCATCCACCTCCTTGCTTCAGCTGCCTTGTGTCACCTTTCTGTGCATGGTTCTCCCTCTACACTAAGTCTGCCTATGCCTGCTGAGGTCGTGCAGCCCCTGGTGAGCCTGTAATTCATCACTTGCACATGGGGCTGGAGTGAGAAACCCAAATACTGTGCAACTCTGTCAGTGAGAGTCTGGCTGTGGAGAAGTGCCAGCTTTAAAAAGCGGCTTTTTGCCTGCCCTGTTGGAAGATTAAATGACCATCACCTTGCTGACAGTGTTTTGGACTGGGCACTCTGCATTACGTGGGTTTGGTGTCCTGTACTCCTAGGAGAGGAGGAAATCTCTAGGATTTGGCTTATGGATGGGCAGCATTCGTACTGGTCCTGCAACATCTGCCCTAAAGCTACAGTACTCTGCTTGCAGACCTTTCCCATGTATATAATCATTGAATCATGGAATGGTTTGGTTTGGATGGGACCTTAAACCTCATCCACTTCAAGCCCCTGCCACGGGCAGGGACACCTTCCACTAGACCAGGTTGCTCCAAGCCCTGTCCAACCTGGCCTTGAACACTGCCAGGGATGGGGCAGCCACAGCTTCTCTGGACAACCTGTGCCAGGGCCTCATCACCCTCATAGGGAAGAACTTATGGCTAAGAGCTCATCTCAGTCTCCCCTCTGTCAGGTTAAAGCCATTCCCCCTTGTCCTGTCCCTACAGGCCCTTGTAAAATGTGCCTCTCCAGCTTTCTTGTTGGCCCCTTCAGGCACTGGAAAAATAAACAGTGTTTATTGCACTTTGTTGTTGTGTCTCGGTGTGTATGTGTTATTCACTTGGGCAATGTGAGTTCATGCTCCGGTGTGATTTGATTCTAGTAATGTTTCATAGAGGTGTACTCGCAGGTTGTGCTTCTCCGTGTAGTAAATTGAAGCAACTGAGACAGAAGCAGAGTCAATATGCTTATTTTATAGACAGACTATTTTACAGGGCAAGGACATGCCAGCAGCTGTGGATAGAGTCGGGAGGGAGCCTGGATCAGTGGTGGGGTCTGAGCTGTAATCAGTCAGACCGCTGTCATTATGCTGTCACACCTGCTGGGCTGGCTGTAGTTACCCACTATAAATAAGTAATACAGTATTAAATAATAAATTAACAATAAAAACCCCTTAGCTTAGCACAATAATAGAATAAAGCTTTGCACTACGAAGCACAATCCTCCTCAGTTTTGGGAAGGGGAGGGTGCACTTTTTTGTTTTCAATGTGAGAGCAATCGATTCACTGAGTCATGTTAGTGAATATACAGAAGGAGGATTTCACACTCTTTAAGTTGTCTGGTGCCTTTGCAGTTGTGCAAGTGTAGTGTAGCTACTTCTGTGCTGCAACTCCCAGATGATAGCAGTGAAGGCCACTGAGCCTTCCCAAAGATACTGCTGTGTCTGATCTACCGCCAGAGACCGTACTGAGAACAGACGGAGCCTGTGCTTTAAGGGCCTTGAAACGACTCTTGGTTGTGGGAGTTGTCCTGTGTCTCCAGCCAGGGTGGGATAAGAGCCTCGTAAACAGCCTTTTTCTTATTCCTTAATAAACGTTGAACCCTGCTGGTTTTTCCTGACGCTGTCTTTTGTTTTCTTCCTCGTGGTGGTTTGTGCTGCAGATCTCCATGGAGTTCAGGAACCTGTCAAAGGTCTACCGGGATGTGATCTCGGATATTTGCCACAAAATGGGCGTTGGGATGGCAGAGTTCTTAGAGAAGAAGGTGGACTCTCAGCACGAGTGGGATAAGGTAAGTCAGCCTCGACAGAGGAGTGGACTGAATGTAAGATCCACTTTGTCACTGTGAAAGCACTGTTGTGGGAAGAGGGTTCACCTGGATGAGGAAGACTGTGGGCTTGGGAAGGCTTTGAGAGACTGCTGGTCCTGTGGGTAATGGGAGCATGGCATGGCTTGGTGTTGCCCATCAGCATGTGTTTGGGGTGACCCACTGCATCAGCTTGTTCCCCTGTGGGTGGTTCATTTGGCTGGTGGCAGCAGAATGGCAGCTTGGTGGGACATGGTGAGGTGATTGCTGGGTATGGGAAAGCTGAGATGTCCCAGGAAGCGCTGTGAGAACTCACAGAACATGTACTCCCAATGGCTTCTGAGCATCAGTTTTGTAAAGCTCACTGCAGTAAATAGCTTGTAACTGCTTCTTTTATCTTGTTTTGTTCCTGCCCCTTCCCCTCTTGGTGGCCCTCAGTATTGTCACTACGTTGCTGGGCTGGTGGGGATCGGCCTTTCCCGTCTCTTCTCTGCATCAGAGCTAGAAGATGCTATTGTTGGACAGGACACAGAGCTGGCGAACTCCATGGGCCTCTTCCTGCAGAAAACCAACATCATCCGGGACTATCTGGAAGACCAGATGGAGGGAAGGGAGTTCTGGCCTAGAGAGGTGAGGGAGAACACTGCTGTGCCTCTTTGGGAAGTGCGCTGAGGCTGAAGGTGCTGTTGCTACTCTGATATAATGAGTTGCATCCTCTTGTTAGAAGAATTCCTACTGGAATTTCCTTTGAAGTACCCAAATCTGTTGTTTTTCCTCTGAAGTTGGTGTCCCTTGACAGTCTTTCACACTTCTGTTGGAGAACTCTAATGGATGGAGCCAACCATCCATGCTTCCTAGGACACCCGGCTTAGGAAACCTTTATAGGGTGCGCAGTGGAAGGTGGACAGCTAAAATTGTATTGTCTCTCAAGTCTGTTTAAGTCAAAGTTAACAGGAGAGACTTGATGTAGATCTGACAGTAAAGCTGTGCTGCATAAGGTTGTTCCTATTGATTGTACATCTTGATAATAACAGTTCTTGTAATTTCACAATCTTCCTTCTTTTCTTGAGCTTAGTAAGCCTTTCAAGGCTTTTGTGAGTCTCTGGTGGTTCATGTTGGTCTCCCAGACCTCAGAGTGTTACTGATGTCACTCTTACGGCATGAATGTACCCTCCAACTTGTGAATCCTTATCTCTGTGTTAAGGTTTGGAGCAGATATGCAAAGAAGCTCTCGGATCTTGCCAAACCAGAGAACATCGATATGGCTGTCCAGTGTCTGAATGAGCTCATCACCAACGCCCTCCACCACGTCCCTGATGTCCTCACGTACTTATCCCGCCTGAAAAACCAAACTGTCTTCAACTTCTGCGCCATCCCCCAGGTGGGTTATGTTTTCAAGTGGTTCTTCATCATCGGCAGCCCAGCTGATAAGAAGTTGGAGGTGAAGGATGTTATGTATCATGTTGATATTAGCCTGTTTTATTCTCCGTCTCTTCTTTCTTCCTTCTTTCCCGGTACCTACTCTTTCTGCTGTTGGTGAGATTGTGGCTCATCTCCAGAGTATCTTAGCATCAATTTCAGTAGAGCCGAGGTTAATCCCTTAGCAAGCTCCTTACAATGTGGTAAGGGCTCTTTGTGTTTCTCCTCAGGTGATGGCTATTGCCACATTGGCTGCCTGCTATAACAACAAGCAAGTGTTCAGGGGTGTAGTGAAGATACGAAAGGGACAAGCCGTCACTCTCATGATGGATGCCACAAACATACAAGCTGTCAAAGGCATCATGTACCAGTACGTGGAAGAGGTAGGTTGAGCAGTTTGAGACACTTGTGGCTGTTCCCATCCTCATTCCTGGTGTGGAACTGGGAAGACACGTGAATCTGTTAATCCTCTCCTTACATCTCATAGTTCAGTGGTGGCAGGGAATGGTGACCTTGAAGTGGTTTCGGTCTGGACCAGACTGGGTGCTTGCTCTGAGGGGCAGAGACTGAAGTCCTGCCTTCCTGATGGAGAACCAGAGTAGTCAGCTCTCACAGCACCTGGGCTGAGTAGGCACAGAGGGCCTTTCCCACAACACACTTCTGAACAGGTTGCATCATCTCCCTATGGGCTGATTGAAAACAAGAGAGCACTCTTGTTTGCTTGGCGTCTGTACTTGCAGCTGGCAAGATGATGTGGTGGTTGTGCTCCACGGCCAACAGTAACTAAGGGCAGATCTTTACAGCTGCTTAAAGCAGTGGGACTCTCATCTTGAGGGTACTGTGGAGGTTAAAAGTTCACAACTGGTGGTTGTTTTCATGGGAAGATAAAACAGCAACTCCAGCAAGGGGTGTTAAATAGAAAGACATTGCTTCTGCACCAGGGAGACCCCAAAACATGGGTTACTAGAAATCCCTTTGTGGGCTGGCCAACCCCATGGCAAGGGACACCTCGGCACCTTATCCAAAAAGAGGGTCTCTGCTCATTCACACCTCCCTATGCCCCACGCAGACAAGTATCTCACTGCAGTGAGGACTGTGGGGCAAGAACCCCTGGTTCCAACAACACCACTGGTGATTGAGAGATATGTCTGATGTGGTCCATCTTCCGTCATGGGGTGCCCTCAAGAGGCTGCTTGGCTTAGTGCACTTCTCAAGGGAAATGGACCTTGGCCCTATCCAGGCATCCCTTGCAGCTGGTCCTTGCTCCATGACAATCCACCACTGAGGTTGTTCTTCAGTACATGGTGGCCCTTAACATTTCCCCTTCCACCCAGTGGTCCCATTTGCCTCTTGAACCTCGGGTGGGAGCCGTAACTCCTCCTTCCTCCCTCCTCCCCAGATCTACCAGAAGATCCCAAGCACAGACCCATCATCCAACAAGACGCAGCAGATCATCGCCTCCATCCGCTCCATGAGCTCACCCAGGGGCCCCATGGCCTCGCGCCACCACTATTCCCCCATCTACCTGTCGTGCGCCATGCTCCTGGCTGCGCTGAGCTGGCAGTACCTCAGCACCATCTCCAAGGCCACCGAGGACTACGTCCAGGCGGGAGAGAACTGATGGGCAGAGGCAGGCGGGGGGAAGAGATGGTCGGACATGGGCAGCGGAGGTAGGAGGCTCCTTATCCCCTGCTGGTGGGGATGGCCAGGCATCGGGGTGCCATGGGGCCTGGATGGTGATAAGGACAGGACACCGGTGAGCTGTGGCCCAGGGCAGTGGTGCAGCGTTGCCAGGCTCCGCTCCTCACCGCCCTTGCTGTCTGCTTGGATGGTTACAAGCACTAATCGGAGTCCTGCTGTTTGGGGTTGAAGATTTTTTTCCCTTCTTTCCTGTTGGATGGTTTCCCTGAATCTTTTTTATTTTTGGTTAGGATGGTTTTAAGTAGAAAATCCAGTTGCCTCTTCACAGTATCACAGTATGTTAGAGATTGGAAGGGACCTCAAAAGATCATCTAGTCCAATCCCCCTGCCGGAGCAGGAACACCTGGATAAGGTTACACAGGAACGTGTCCAGGCGGGTTTTGAATGTCTCCAAACAAGGAGACTCCACAACCTCCCTGGGCAGCCTGTTCCAGTGTTCCGTCACCCTCACTGAGAAGAAGTTTCTTCTCAGGTTTAAGTGGAACCTCTTGTGCTCCAATTTGTACCCATTACCCCTCTTGCTTGAGATGTGAGACACTTTTCCAGCTCAGAGCTGAGGAAAACCACTTGGATTTTGCCTCCCTTTCTTAAGCAGCCTCTTCCCTGTCACCCCTGGTGCCTGCTCCACACTGGAAGGATGCTGCTTCAGCCAGGAGAGCAACATGCTTCCTTACCCAGGGAAAAAGCTATGGCCACCTTCTGGCCCTCAGCCCAGGCTGGTTGACACCCTGCAGCCTGGAAACAGAGGCAATCTTTACATTTCTATTCTTGTGCTGAAGGAGGCTGCTAGACTTGAAACAAGCCCTTTTAATGTTAAACACATAGGAGGAGGGGTGCTCTGTCCACTTTAATGTGCTCCCAGCTGAAAGCCACATGTTGCAGCTTCCCTGCTCTCTAGCAGATGGCACCCTGCACTTCGTGTCTGAGCATGGGGAGGTGGTTAAAATAAGAAAGGAGCTGCCTGCATGGTCCTAAGCTAATAACCCCGTGCCTGGCTCCACTGCAGGCTCTGGGCTCTGCAGCACTTCTTCAGCCCAAGGGATGGGAGCAACATCATCGCAGCAGTGCTGGGTGCCTGTGCAAGGTAGGAGGGTGAGGGTTTGCACTGTCCTGGCCCTCATGGGATGTGTTTTGGGGGCCTTGGTGCGCTGGCCAGCCTGAAAGGCAGCAGCACTCTCTGGTATGGGCTCAGAAGGCTTAAGCCACTGAGATGGCCAGGGTGGGTTTCCCTTGCCTGCTTGGCTCTGGCTTGAAGTGATGCTTTGGGTTAGACGGATGTGGAAGCTGTGTTCTGAAACACATCAGGCCAGACTTCCTTTGAGAGGAAACAGCACTTTAACAGCAAGTGTTTTCCTGGGGTGGATTTTTGTTATCAGGGTCCCTACCCACCCCTTGTAAGTGCTGCTTTGCCTTTGTGAAGGGAAGGACAGCCCCTGTCTTGGTGCAGGACAGAGCTCTTCACACAGAGCAGTTTGGTTGGTGCCTGTGCAAGGCCAAGCCCCTGTGGCCAGACTGTTACTCAGAAGGAGAACCCCTACTCCACAAATACTGATGTAGATAGTTTTAAGCTGTTGTTGAAAAGAAACTTGCGGTAGCTCTCTCTGTGCAGCTTCCTGTCTTGGAATTAAAAGTTTTCTTTGGGAAAAAAAAACAGCTTGTTCCTTTTTTTAGCTGTCGTTTCACACTGGTACTTCCCTACCATGCCACAAGTTGCAAGCCCTGCTAGGATAAAATGCAAACTGGAGAATCACGCAATGGTTTTAGTTGGAAGGGACCTTAAAGCTCATCCAGTTCCAACCCCTGCCACGGGCAGGGACACCTTCCACTAGACCAGGTTGCTCCAAGCCCCATCCAACCTGGCCTTGAACACTGCCAGGGATGGGGCAGCCACAGCTTCTCTGGGCACCCTGTGCCAGGACCTCACCTCCCTGACAGGGAAGAACTGCCGAAGAGCTCATCTCAGTCTCCCCTCTGTCAGGTTAAAGCCATTCCCCCTTGCCCTGTCCCTACAGGCCCTTGTAAAAAGCCCCTCTCCAGGTTTCTTGTCAGCCACTTTATGCACTGGAAACTGCTCTAAGATTTTTTGCTACTTAGGGCATCACAGTAAAGCTTTATTTGCCAGACCCAAAGAAGTAATTTTAACCAGAGTGGAAGACAGCTAAAGGTCAGTAAAGTGACTGTTACTGGGCCTTGCACTGCAGGCATGCACTGCAGTGCCTTGGTGCATCCTCACAGCCCATGTACCAGTGTGCAGAGATGCTGGGGGCAGAAGCACTTCACCCACCACCAAGTGCAGATGATACCCAGGGGCTGCTCAGGAGTCAGCACAAGCCCCAGGCAGTAGCTGCAGCTGTACTGTCACCAGAGGACGGGGCTGACACTGAGCTCACTTGAATGAAGACAACATTGCTTCTACAGTGCACAGGAGTATAGTTTGAGGTGGTTTAAGGTCAAGCAGAAGCAACCAAGAGCCATGAGACAAGACACTGGAGAAATCATTTATTGGCACAGTTGTTCCAATCACATACACCACAGCTCTGTCTCACTGGTGAGTAAGCAGAGGCAAGGGGCTATTTTACAGTGCAAGGGAGAGCCTGCTTCATGTGTTCCAGACATGTAGCCTCAGCAGTATACTTTGTGCTTTAAAATGAAAGGAAACTCTCTTTCACTATATTAGTGTCAGCAAATCACGATTCTTCCTATACAGCTATTACACCTCCCCCAGTAATAAAAGTAAGGATTTTTTTCTTCTTCCTTAATGCCTGTGGCTCAAAAAGGAAAGAAAAAAAGCTTCACTATGTGCAAGTTAGCAAGAATCCTCCAAGCATCTGCATGAGCTCCCTGCAGCAGACCTGGGGAACATCCCTCATCCCTGCTCAACATTCATCACAGGCCATCCCAAAGCACCACGTCAGTGTTGGATGCAGCACTGTACACATCAAGCTGCAAGGAAGTGGTTTATTCCTTCCATCGTGCTCCTAGATGCTTGCAGGACATTAGGTCAAAGGCTCATGGAGCTCCAGCCAGGCCCTTCCTTAGGACCAATAACCCCAGACTACAGCAGAAAAAGCAGACAAAACAGCTGAGGAACAAGTGGTTTAAAAAGCAGCCGAGTGGATGGAGCAAGCAATGCACAAAGGACTTATTGCAGGCAGGAAGGGGCCTTAACGCAGCTCCGGACAGAGCCAGCCCCATATCAAGTTCATCAGTACATCATCATTAATAGCTCTAAGTTTAACCAGTTCAAGGCACACGCTAACCCTGCTTATTTTGGGCACCAACAGTCAGAACAACTCAGGCAGGGGGGTACAAATCACCTCTGGCCACGGCTTCCCAGCAGGGTCCATTTCCACCACCCCACCAAGTCCCTAGCCCCAGCACAAAGCTACTGCTTCCTACCTTCCCAGCTACAGATATAGCTGGAAGGGGTCCAGGCTAAGCAAATATCATGGCACAAGAGGCCAGCAAGTCCTTCAGCAGTCCTTTGAGCAGGGAATGTCCCATACCTGCAACCCAGCAGGAGCAGAGGGGTGGTGGAGAGCAGTTCCACCTCCAGCTCCACCATACAGTTAAAAAAAAAAGATAAAAAGCTTTAATAAAGTAACCTCAACTATAGTCTCTTAGAAGGGGGGGCTCTGCACCCAACCCACTATCAGTTAAAAGCATCGGGGACCCAGGGTTGTTTGATCAAGTTACATCCTCTTCCAGTACTGCTCCGTCCTGGGGACACCGGCCACAATCTCAGATTCGATGCCACAGTGGTCCTCTCCTCGCAGGATCTTGAAGAAGCCTGAAAGCAACCAACAGCACAAGTCAACATCCCCACTGGACCACAAAGAACAGGGAAGGGGTTCCCCCTGGCAGCATCCGGGGTGCCTCACCGTTGTCGCCCCAGTCGGTGTTCCAGGAGTTAGCAGCCAGCCAGTAAGGAGTGCCGTTATCCACACCCCAGCCCAGGAGCCGGATGGCGTGGCCTCCAACCTGCTCACCAGACACGTGCTGGTAGACCCCTGCAAGGCAACACACCAACACGCTCATGGGCACTGTGCTGCTGCACCTCAGAGCGCCCACAGTCTGTGAGATGTTGGATAGCAAACCCCACAGACCGGCCGAGAAAAGTGGGATTGGTTAAACCATGGCATCACAGAATGGTTTGGGTTGGAAGGGACCTTAGAGACCATCCACAGGCAGGCATGCATCCCATTAGATCGCATTGCTCCAAGTCCCATCCAACCTGGCCTTGAACACTGCCAGGGATGGGGCAGCCACAGCTTCTCTGGGCACCCTGTGCCAGGGCCTCAGCACCCTCATAGGGAAGAACTTCTGCCTAAGAGCTCATCTAAATCTCTCCTCTGCCAAGTTAAAGCAAACCTGGAGCTTAGTGTAGAGTCTGAAGGAAGGACTGATGCTCAGCATCAGCTCAGCACAGGACACCCAACGCCAAGGGGCAAGGGTCTGCCCCCTCGGCAAGGGGCCCAAAGGCAGTACATCCCAAGAAGTTCATAACAGGGAACTGGAGTCCACATCAAGAGAGCCACCTGTCAGGATCTTACCTAAAACCCTGTTGTTCCAAACCCTAGCTGCAATTCTGGGGGGTCCCCACTGGGGCTTCCTCCCTGAGCCAGTCCCAAGCACTTATTCCCCTTGCTGTAAACCAATGGATAAGGGAGATGGTATCTTGTACCCACATTCTTGTATGACCAGATACTCTAGTATAAGCTTGAGATTTCCTCTCAGAAGTGAGTAGAGGGATGGACCCTATGGATGTAGTAGGGAACAGGGCTCCCTACAGCCTCAGTGCTGATGCTCACCAGACTTGTACATCAGGAAGTCCTCATAGACAATAAAGGCTCCTTCCACTGGGCCATTCTTGTAGATCTCAGCCATTATTTCCTTCTCACTGCGAGGGACGCCATAGGAGGTGATGCCTAGGGAGGAAAAAAGTTCCACCATTAGTATGGCATTGTCAGGCTGCAGAGACTGCTCAGCATGCCCCTGCAAGAGCTCTTCTCCACTTAAAGGTTGAATTCAAACCCAATTGCTCCAGAGGCACTAACACAGGCAGGCAGGAAAAGTGGACTCCAACCATCCCTCTTCCAGACAGAATGATTTAACCCGAGTCCTATTCTTCACCTGAAGACCTGTTTCAGACAGCTTCAGTGGGAAGTTTTCTCCTTGTACGTCCCCATTTCCAAAACAACCCAAATTTCTCAAAGCCAAGACAAATCCCAAAGAAGCAACCAGATTATGTACAGGGTTACATAACCAGATTACATGTATAGGGTTTGCTACCAGCACGGAGTAAGAAGGAGGTGGCTTTGATACCAGAGTCCCACCATGCTCTTCAACCCAGGCATGTGCACCACAAGGACACAAACCAGTTCCCCTGTCTCAGTTGCACCTCAGCAAATACAAACTGTGCATCTGCCAGGTTTATGGTTGCTGCAGGACTGCCCATCACTGAGGGCACAGAGAATAACCACCATAAACCATCTTAGGAAGAGGTCCAACCCTGCCAGCCCCATTGGGAACAGCTCTGGAGCTGCTATGCATTGAGCAGTGCTGGAGGCCACCCCCTTTACCGTAGTGCTTGTCCTCCTTGTAGGAAGGTGAGTATCCAGGCTCGCAGTGCCGGCTGCACCTCGGGGTTTCTCCTCCCTCCCCAGTACAGGGTGGCCGGGAGCCATTGACGTGGTGTTCACAGGGTGGGATGGAGTAGGGACGGCAGCCTGTGGAGGAGAGATAGCAATGAATTGGCTGTTCCCGAGCACCCCTGTCCAAAAGCCATGCTGGAGAAGGCACCGGATAACCCATAAAAAGATAGGACCTTTCTGACCCAGAAATCCCACAGATATCAGTGGGGTGTGAGCAAGAGTAGGTCTGCCACTGCCAGATGGGCAACCCCTGCCTCAGCAATGGGTTTCCCTCTGGATCTGCTTCCCAGCACCTCCCCCTTGACAATGTGATGGAAAAGATGGAAACATGAACCAACTCATGGCTATAGAATCATAGAATCACAGACTGATTTGGGTTGGAAAGGACCTTAAGATACACTTCCAACCCTCTGCCATAAGCAGGAACATCTTTCACTAGAGCAGGTTGCTCCAAGCCCCGTCCAACCTGGCCTTGAACACTGCCAGGAATGGCAGCAGAAGCCTTGCAGGGTTGTTAAGCCTGGCTACTGTGCTCCTTTCCTGGATGTCCCTCCTGCCACTAGCTGCTGCTCATAAACCCTTGTCCCAGGGAGTGACCAGGAGCCATAGATGGGGATAGGAGCAGCCATCTGGGTAACAGAGGTTTAGCATCCACAACAACAGAGACCAGAAGAGAGGCACTGTGAAGGACATGAACCTGTAACGGAACACCAAGCAGAGGTGCTCCTCTTTGCTGTCACAAGGGTATCTGCCAGGACTTACCCACATGGGAATCGTAGAGACCTCCAGACACCAGGCCCCTTTCTGTCCAGTACCTCCATGCACCAGCAGGATAACCACCATTGCACCTGGAGAAAGAGCAGTACTTCCAGCTCCAGCCTGCTCAGAGCCATTCCCTTTGGGGTAAATTGAGCCACTGATTTTGAGGTGGTAAATTGAGGTGGCTGAAGGGAAGCTTTCAGCACATTGACTTCCTGCCTTCCCCAGGGTTTCCAGGCTTCAACACACCAAAGTGTTAGGGCAAGGAGCAGCTAAGAGCACCCATGACTCCAAACCCCAAAGCAGTGGTGCTGCCTTAGCAGGTCCCTGGGTCAGCCATTGCTGCCAGGAGCAAGCAGAGGCTACACAGTTTGGAGACCCAACTCCCCACCCTGCTCTCTACAACTGCAAAAGGCTTGTGCCTGAACACCAAGGCTTGGGGCTATTATAAGATCCTTCATTTGGATTAGGCAGCTGCCAACTCTGTATAGGAAAGCACTGTTATGTGCTTGCCTTCCCACCACCAGCCATCATTATCTACTGCTGCTGGGGGTAGGATATGCCCCAGAGGGACTTTCAGTCCATGCAGTCACCTTTATGTTCTGACCTAACTCCAGTAACTACAGCATAAACTATTAGTGAGGCTGCCTGCTCATCGGGAGACCAGGAATCACAGGATCATTCAGGTTGGAAGGGACCTTAAAGTTCATTCAGTTCCAAGCCCCTGCCACAGGCAGGGACAGCTTCCACTAGACCAGGTTGCTCAAAGCCCCATCCAACCTGTCAGGAAGACAGGGCTGAAATGATCAGCATCTCCAGGTTGTGCCCCTGCTCCTACCACCCACCCTTTCAGTGCACGAGAACCAAGAGCAGCTCACCCCATGCCGCACTCGAAGCCGCAGCACGACAGCAAGTCCTCCGCCGAGACCTCCACGCTCACCTTGGCGTTCGTGTGAACACAGATCCTGTCTGAAATCGCTTCTACAGCACCAAAAGCCTGCGGGCAGCCCCCAGAAACCCAAGGGAAGACCATTAGAGCTGGACATGGGAGAGAAACCAGGCAGCCTTCCAGCAATGAGTGCAGCAAGCATAAGCCTAGCTAGCATAAGCCCATCGAGAAGCTCAGATACTGCAGGATGCCCCCAGCATCTCCCCATTTATGCAGTTTGGCAGCAAACCCAATGGCATCCTTTTTGTCCAGCAAACTCTGTACCAACGTGACGTCAAACTGCCCATGCACTTACCCAGCAAGAGCCACAAGACCCCTGGTCTCTTATCTCACTGATGGTAGGGCAGTTAGGCCACTGTGTCCGTGAGTCAAAGGTATCAGGCAGCTCCATGTCTGCAGCAAAATCCACCCTGGAAGTGAGAAGAGAGAAGCACTGTTACAGGAACACCAGTGGAACAGGACCAGTTGCACAGGACTCCCCAACCTCCTCTGAAGGTGACCTGGAGGACAAGGGCTCTTGTTTGCTTAGTGAAGCAGCACAGATACTTCTGAAGTCCTCAGACCAGGTCAGCAGCTCCTCCAGTGTTTTAAGTTTCAAGGAGTATGACTGGTCAAGTATCTAACAGAACAGAGGACAGATGTCCCCACCCCCTTCCACATGCTGCTCTGTGTAATTCCATGCATGATGCCCACCAAGCTGCACCCAGGAGACCCTCGCGCATCCCAGATGCACCAGGAGCATCCACGCAAGCTTTTACAGGGTACTCACCTTCCTCTCCCAACACTCACCTCTCAGGGAGCCTGGGCCCACCCAGGAAGGTGCCGCAGAGCTTCTTCACATAGCTCATGTCAGCCTTGTGGAAGTTGTGCCCTGCCTGGAAGAGACAGAGAAATGGGACACAACTCCTCACAGCCACCAGTGCTGGGACCAGCCTGGTGCTCAAGATCTCCCTCAGACCCCATCAGTGTCTGACACTTGCTGTACAACCCAGAAGCTAAGACCCAGGCTACATACAGACACAGAACACAGCCCCTTCCCTGATCAGTGCATCATGACCTGCAAGCTAAGGTCCAACCCTAGCATTTAGCTACTGCAACCTGGGTTTGGCCAGGTCACCAACACTTGCTGCTTGTTTCCAGCCTTCCTCCTCTTATCATTGCTCCTACTCTACAGATCCATCAGTGCTCTGTTCCACAGAGAAGATCCACAGTTACTGTCACCATGGGAATCCCTGACAGCATCAGCTCACTAGAGAAGTCAACTGGGACCAAGGCTGCTATGAAGCAACCACCATGGTGAGACTCCCAAAGCTCAGCTATGGAGTCCCACAAAGAGACTGCTGAGCAATGCATCCAAAAGTACTCACCAAGCCAGTACTCACCTTCCAGGTGGTGTTGAGCTTGTTTATGTGGTTGACCAAGTCGCTGGAGAGAGGAGGGTAGTGACGAATGCTGCGAGCATTGGTGAAGGCCACCAGGACACAGAGGATGGACACGGACGGCCACATCTTGGCTATAGGCTGGGACACTCCACCTGCAGCCAGATTTGGACATCATTGGAAACCTTCCCAAGGCAGACTCAGACCCAAGGCTTGGCAGGAGCACCATTGCAGCACCACGTGGAAGGATAAAACACGTGGCTGCATAAAGTCCCTCCCGATCCCGGTTTATCCCAAAGGTCAGGAGAGATGCAGGAGCAGAGTAGTAATCACCCCCCTCCTGCAGCTCATTAAGAAATCAGACAAGGCAACCCTGTTTGTTGACCACTGCAGGATTAGGACCAGCAGGAAAATATCTTTTGAAGCAGACCCAAGGGATTTGGAGGGTATTACAGGCTGTGTTCACTTCCACAAAAACGGAGAATAAGGACTAGAAGGAATAAGTGTTACCCCACACCCACAAACTGCAGCCTCAGGGATTTGCTAGCCCCTGCCCTTCCTTCCTTTGAGGATATCACTCCAAATCACACTTTTGGACTCTATGGCCTCATGTTGGTCAGCCCATTGCCCTGGGGACCTTGATGGGGGTTAGAGCCCAGGGGGGTGACCCCCTGCCCATGTCTGCAAGCACCAGAGCTGCCTGTGCTCCCCTCCCACTGGGGTTTTTCATAAGGGAGGCTGTGAAGCTGCTTCCCTTGGCACAAGGCACCAGGAAAGCCTCTGATTCGGGGAACAGAGATGCAGGGGAAATCCAGGAGCACAGCAGCAGTGAACACAACCTCCCACTCAGAACCACAGGCATCCCCCAGTACAAAGATGCTCCAGGGTTTGGTGATTTCTCTGCTCTCCTGCCTCCTTTAACCTAATCCACATTAAATTGCACAACTCCAATTTAACCCCCTATTAAGAGATACCAGTTATTTAGCTGAAGCAGGGTTTAAGCAGCAGCTTCTCCCTTACAGCCTCAACACCAGCAACCACCATTCATTCCACGTCCCCACACTGGACTTGGACACACACTCTGACCATGCGCTGCTGAATCCCTGCAAACACACCAGGGCACCCTGCTCCAGAACCTCCCAGCTCCCCTTCCACCAACCCCACATCCACCCCAATGAGCTCCAACCCAACACCTCTGACCCTCCGCAGCAGCCCGAGCAGCAGGGATATTTAAGCTTTAATTCCTACTCGTCTCAGTGAGCTCAACATGTGATCACCTTTGCAAGCCTGGGTTTAAGCCCTCCTAGGCAAACACACCGGAGCAGCCGGACATGCAGCTCTTGGCAGCAGCACTCCAGCCCCGCGGCCAGAGCCGGGGCAGGGATGGGGAGATGCACACGTATTTCCTATGCAGGCTGCCACCACCTACTCACAGCCAAGTTTAGCCTTCCCAGAGCAGAGAGCCCAGCAGGAGTGCCCTACTTTCTGCCAGCAACAAGCCCAGGCGGCTGCAGCTAACTGTATAAAGGGTCTTGCTTTCTCTCCCCCTCCCTCCTCCTTCCACCATTTGTTGGGTCTTATCCCCCTCTGTGCATCCAGCAGGATGCTCAGCCCAAATGCTAGCTGAGTTTCAGAGCACATGGGTTCTCCTGCCCCTCAATCTCACCTCTTGGAAGGGGTTTCTATTTCCTTGCTTAGAGGTTTCTCGCACACAAGGGTCTTGCTGGTGTCCTCACCGTGCTTATGCAGCAGGAAAGAGGTTATGGCCAGAGAAACAAATATACATTCATTCCTAAGGCTACTGTGGGGTTTGCCTTGTGCCCTTCAACATGGCCATGGGAAGCCCAGAGGTGAGCAGCCTCACCTGAAGCACCTTTTCTAATGGAAAATCCTTGGAAACAAAACGAAAACCCAGCACAAACCCAAACCCCAAACCTGCTGCACTTCCTGCAGTCAACTCTATACCACCTGTAGCACAGAAGGGAAGTGTTTTTGAGGCCAGAAGCCACCTAATACACTTGTGTTTTCAATAGGATGCTTGTAAGTTTCCTGGCATGCTCAAACCCGCCCCGCAAAGCCTCCCACATCAATACAGCTCCTGATGGGTGCACAAGGGATACCTCACATCCTCAGGTTACCGGGCCACACAGCCACACACTTGGAGCTCCAGACAATCCGAAACCAGACTGAAAGTGATACCAGGCAGTTTCCCCTTGGACAGCTATCGCCTTCCAGGCTCTGCTGCACTGCGCCCGCCCCACGGCATGGCCAGCAGCAGCACCGCGACACAGCCCAGTGCAACCTGAAGAGCTGGGAGCCACTCGGTTGTTTCAGCAAACAAGGCTCTTGCCAAACCTCCCACTGGCATGAAGCCTCCCTATGGGCCATGAGAGAGCTGAGCCTGGAGAAGGGAAGGCTTCTTAAGGGGAGACCTTAGAGCAGCTTCCAGTGCATAAAGGGGCTGACAAGAAAGCTGGAGAGGGGCTTTGGACAAGGACCTGTAGGGACAGGACAAGGGGGAATGGCTTTAACCTGACAGAGGGGAGATTGGGATGAGCTCTTAGGCAGAAGTTCTTCCCTGTGAGTGTGCTGAGGCCCTGGCACAGGGTGCCCAGAGAAGCTGTGGCTGCCCCATCCCTGGCAGTGTTCAAGGCCAGGTTGGATGGGGCTTGGAGCAACCTGATCTAATGGAAGGTGTCCCTGCTTGTGGCAGGGGTTGGAACTGGATGAGCTTTAAGGTCCTTCCAATGCAAACCACTCCATGAATCCATGAAGTCTCCTATGGCTGTGAGGCGTCAGAGGGAGCTGACACAGTTGGAATATCCCAAGGTCTGCGTGGAGAAGGAAGGGGAAATCCTCGATCTCGTGATTCCTCCTCCCCGCCCCCCCGCTTCAGAAGCGCCCTGTGTACAGCAGGGCTATAAATAGGGAGCACAGGCACGGGACCCGCAGGACGAGTTTCCTCCAGCGGCAATTCCCCAGCCCCGGCAGCAGCACAGCAAGAGCCGCTGCCCCCATCACCCACCCCCGGTACCAGCAGTGACAGTGACACACCTCCCGCGGCAGCGTTACTGCCTGCGCACCCACTTCCCCCACCGCCGCTATCTCCTGCACACACTCCTCCCTCCCCATAGAGCCCCGCACATGTTCCAGATACCAACACGCGAGCAGCACCAAAACCAGCCTTGCAAACAAGAAACCTGCGCACTGAACAGGCCAGGGGAGCTCCTCCAGCAACCTCTTCCCTTTGCAACCCCCAGCCTCTTGCAGGTGCCCTGCAGCATAAGGATAACCCTGTTCAAGCTGTCTCCACAGGTCACACTCCACCACACCTTGAAAAACAGAAGCAAAGCTTGGCTGTTGGATGTCTTAAGACACAGCAGCTTCGCCCCAAACTCTCCAGGTGGGAGGAGGATGTTTGAGGCTTGCCAACAGCCTCCCAGGCTCCTCCATCTCCTCTGGGGCTGCAGACCTTGGAGATGAGAACAAGCTCCCTGCTTTGGGACCCAAAATGCCTGGGATTTGGGACTCAAATTACCTTCAGTTTCTTGAAGGGTGAGCAGGAAATAACTGCAGGAAGCTCTGCCCACCAGCACACCACACCCTGATCAGGGCCCTTGCACTTCAGACACTGCTTAAAGAGGGGAGATTTGGGCCACCTGAGAGCAGCCCTTGAGACACCCCTGTGCGAGCCAGTGATGAGGAAGCACAGAGGCTGAAGGCTTTCCAGCATGAGCTGGTCGGGGTGGCTGCAGTGTGTGAGGGAGAAGAATGTGAGAAGCAAGATGCTGCAGCTGGTGCTGCATCACAGCCCTGCTGCGCTGCCTGCAACTGCAAATAGACAGGGCACAGGAAAGGAGCTGACATCACCCAGGTGCCCTCTCCATCCATCCTGAGCAGCAGATCTCAGAGCTGGAGCCTGCTCCCACCTGCTTTCCCAGGGATACAGATCCAACTGTATGGACCATGTTATCAGTAGGGTCCCACAGCCTCCGCCTAGCAGCCAGGGGAGATGCGCAGTGCCTGCTATAAGAAATCCCTCTGCAGTTCATTGCTGCAGAGTCCCACCACAAAGGTTGCAGGATGTCACCCAGAACTCCAGACCCCCAAGTCCCATTTAACTGAGCATAGTCAAGAAATAAACAACCACCCAAAAAACCCAAACCAGGCTATTGAAAGCCCAGCTCACATGATTCTGTTCAGGAAGTGGTCAGGCCATGAGATAACAGCCCTGAAGCACTTCTCAGCTCCTCCATCATCTGGGCTAAACCCCTCCAGGCACAAACAGAGACATCCACATACCCCTTTTCAAGGGTTAGGGGAAGATAAGAGCTGTCCCACGATCACAGTTACAACACCCCCACCCCTCCAAGGTGAAGGTGCTCAGCAAAACCCAAGTCATGTGTCCTCCTCACCCAGGCTGAGCTTTGTCCTTTGTTCTAGCTGCCAACGATTGTGCATGACTCTAAGCCACAATAAAGCAAGCATATAAACAGTGCAGTCCAGCTTAGCTTGCTCAGTCTGGGAGCACCAAACTCATGGCCTGGTGACTACATTGCAGTTATTATTGAATTATCAAAGCTTGAATATTTTCCTTAAAAATAATTAAATAAAAAAGCATGAGGCACTCTTCCCCACGCCCATTCCTTCCCAGGAAAGCTAAATCTTTACCAGAAGTCTGATATCTGGCTAAATAAATACACCTTGAGACAACCTGCAGTGCTTGCCTCTACAGCTTCCATTCACACACAGTGCAAGCTTCCCCTCCAGTGGAGCTGCACTGATTTTATCCCCTCTTCTCACAGACCACTCCACAAAGCAGAGCCTTGCACAAGCCCCCAGCAGACACCCCGCTCTACTGAAATTCCTTGCTCTCTTCTGCAACCTTCCACTTTGCAACCTTTAGGTAAACAGGCGAAGGGGAGCGATCTTTGCTGCATCACGCCCGCTGGTGCGGTATATGGGTGACAGCTATATATGGATGGCGGCCAGGCTGCGTGCCAGGCAGACCAAGGCAGCTTTTACCCGGCGCCATCTCCAAGCCATGGTCCTGATGCCAGACCCCAGCTCGGCCGCGCATCACGGCATCTTCCCACAAGCACTGCAGCTGATGGCAAACCGACCTCCTTCAGCAGACAAGCAGGGCTGGTTTTTCTTCCCATCTGCATTATATAAACACGGTTTTCTCTCT